TATACTTATGCTCAAACTCATAGAATCCCTCACGGTATGGAAACAGGCCCCTTGGCCCAACAAGTCCACACTGACCCCTAGAGCATCCCACCCCGACCCACACCCCTATAACCAACTGAATCCACACATCCCTGAACATTATGGGCAATTTAGCATGGCCAATCCACCGAGCCTGCACATTTTTGGACTGTGGGAGGAAACTGGAGCACCTGGAGGAAACCCACGCAGACATGGGGAGAACGTGCAAACTCCACACAGAAAGTCGCCCAAGGGTGGAATTGAACCCAGGTCCCTGGCGCTTTGAGGCAGCAGTGCTAATCACTGAGCCACCATGCCGCCCTTCATATAATAATTTGAGGGGGGAATTTTTCGAACTATATTTCCTTCCAATATGGAAGCAAAAGGCACCACATTAAAGTGGCAAGCTGATGCTTTTTTTGTATCCAGATCAGAAATGTCCTACATTTAGGTTCCAACACCATCAGTGATTCTGAGGCCATCATTCATCCCTTTTATAGTGACCAACAATTATAATTGATGTTATTTTATCATATTACTTTAGATATTCACATTTGATAGACAAATTGCTACAACGAGTTTCAGTTTTTGTTGGAATTGAACTGCTAATTGTTGGTTACACAGTGAGGCATTTCCCTGACAGAATGACAATAAATTCTTAACTGTTTGATTCAAGTATCTTAACTACCTCTGCGTTTCAGTGCCATGACTGTTGGTTGCAAATATTATTAATAACAGCAAAAAGAATGGCTTTTTGGTTGTTTTTGAATGTTTCGGAAGTGATCAGTTTAAGCAATATAATAAATAATCGTTAATCAATTCTGAAATGTGTTACAGGGCTTACCTCAACAGCATTCGTGGGTTGATGCTAACATTATAATCACCCTCCATTTGATATCCAGTATTTAGAAAGATTGATGTTTGAATCTCTCATTATTTAAAAAGTTGCCTAAAAAGTTGTTTCTGTTAAATTTAATCAAATATTCAGAACGAGCAAAATTTCAAATTTGAGTTGATAAAGTTTAAAGTTTGGTTATTGTTTTGTTCTAAATCGTAGTTACATAATGAATGTTGTCTCATGTTGTCACAGAAGTAAGAATAAGGTTTATCGAAAATAAGATGAACAAAGCAAAACCTCAGCCTGAATAAAGTTTTCAGTTATACTTGAATCAAACTAGGTTGGTATAACTTGACTTAGATTCTGAGGCTGTACTAATGTAACTGGTTTCTGTAAGCATGAGGCTAAGATAAGGTGCTGTGTGAAACTTGAGCAAGATGTGAGCAGTCCAGTTTTGGATTCCCAGAGAATCCAAAATTCGGAGCATTCCTAGATTTCAAGTTGGTTTTGTTCAGGGGCAGTAAGTGATGTCCTCACATCACATGAGGGGTTTGCCAAACAAAGAAGAACAATGGAGTTGGGTGTATAGATACTAATGTTTGGACCTCAATTTATCACCATATTAAAATGGCTACATGATAGACACAGTGGGCAGAATCTTATAAGACACTCACCGACATGGGCTAAAGTGCGAAACGTGGGAGGATTATATGGGAAGTCCAGCGAGACCCTTCTCAAAATCGGGAGCCACAAGTCTCATTTACATAAAGACTTCTGGGCATCAAGATAAGATTCTCACTCACGGAAGTGGGGGTCAGTAAAAATTAGGATTATTGCTCACTATCAACCTCAGTAACACCAAATCTCACCTCATCAATTCGCAGATTCCTGCTGCACCATGGGACAGATAGAAGCCAGGAAGTCTTGGTGACTCCAGCTCACCACTTGCTCTTCCAGACCTCCGTCATGGACTCCCACATTAAAATCTAAGAGCATGCTCCAGGTCAGCGGCCACACACACCCCACTTCCACAAATACTGGAATCCAACACTTGCTAGCACCTCCTCAACCTCATATCACATTCTGATTCACTCACAGTACACTTCTGCACATTAATGCTGTACTTTGGAGCTCACCTGCACTTATCACTGCAATGGGATAGATCAATGAGATGAAAGTGGCTGGCACAGCTCTTAGTGCTAGTGCAAGAGGGGGAAAGTTGGTGAGGTCTCCCCAGTAAGTGATTAGGCACTATAGAGGTTATGCAGGGTTAGTAGTTTGGGACAGGGCAGGGTTGACACCAAGTTGGGAAGATGTTGCATGTATTTGTAAGAGTGATAGACCATGTGTCTTGGTGGGTCAGGAGCAGAGACTAAATGTGAAATAGCAGGAGAGGAAACGTTGGCACTTGCTCTAACAGTGAAGAGAAGGACATTGTTTTTCTTCCTACATTGCTGCACATTCTTCCAGATGGCAACATGGGTGGCAGCCTTGGACTGTCTGGCAGGGTGCATGTCATGGCCTCCATTGCAGGTCCTGAGAGTACTAGATGACTCCCTGCACAATCCTATCCACCAGGACGTCCAGGTCCATGTGACAAAGCGGGACACCAATTTCCCTTTATCTGCCAAGTTCAGGGCAAATGTTACAAAATGTACAAGGTGTCTCAAGACTGCTAGTACCTTTATAAATGTGGCACCAGCATCAGGGATGCCGGTCTCTCCTGGGATATCCTGGCTGTGGCACATCCTTCTGGCTGCGGCAAGTAATATGATCTAGCTAGTATCAGACGAGAGGAGTGTGGTTGCTATTTAATGAGGTGAGTCTGGGATGATAGCATGTGAAAACTCATTAGGCTTTGTCCAGGGAAACCCTCCATAAAAGACAGTGATAGTTTGCCAACATATGGTAAGATTCAGGCAATGAAAGTTGAGGGCAAATAGTAAAATGTGATGGTGAGAAAAGGAGAAGAAAAAAATAACTGGACAAAATGTGAAAATGCTTGTAGCCATCAATGAAAAGTGTTGAATTATTTTTTTTTTTACATAATTACATACTTTGAAACCTTGTGAGCTCACTAGCCTATTGAAATTTCCCTCATTAAACAATTTGATTAAAATATTAATTTCTGCACCCAGAATGTGGATTTTGATTTATTATACAACACACTCTTCATTCCTCACAGCCCCTATATGTAAAGGACTGTTCAGCTCATTCTTCTCAACTAAATATATTATCTAAGTCTATAGAGTTCTCCTGTGTCATGTACCATTCAATCAAAAGAACCTTCCGAATACTGTTTGTAGTCCTTGGGCTCAATGATCTCCCAAATGTGACACACAATTTAAGTTAGAGATCTCACTACCATAACACTGTTTAATTCACAGCTTTCACCAGTATACTAATACATTATTTAATCTTATAAATATTGATGTATAATACAGGTTCACATTAAGTATAGTCTCTAGTTCATCATAGGGTTCCCCATTGTAATGCACAGTTTAGTTCATGGACTCTCTTTGATTGAATATTGCTGAGTTCAACCATTTCCCTTCTGTAATGCAATCTGCGGATCATGTTCATCTGAAGTTAGCGATGAATTACAGATACCTAATACATGGGCACATTTGATAAAGAAAATGCCAATCGTGATCTTGTTCGTGGTTGCAGGCCTAGTCTGGACTAGAAAACTACAGACCTATCAAATAAGTGACAGTTTTGTTTCTAGCCCAAAAATTCAAAAATAGAATTGTTAATTTGTAAAAGAGAATTCAATGTATCAAACTATATATTATTGGATCTTTCCAAGAAACTGAAAGAACTGCAGATGCTAGAAATCTGAAACCAAAATATAAATTGCTGGAAAATCTCAGCAAGTCTGGTAGCACCTGTGGAGAGAAATCAGAGTTAACGTTTTGGTTCCGGTGACCCTTCTTCAGAATCTGTTAACTCTGATTTCTCCCCACAGATGCTGCCAGATCTGCTCAGATTTTCCAGCAATTTCTACTATTGGATCATTGTTTGTCCAGGACAAAGGCTATTTTTGAGAGGCATTTCACTTGTTCATTTAGGAAACTATTATACTTCTTTTCAGGATTGTTAGCTTTCTCCCTGAAAGATCAGTTGCCTATCCACAGAGTTGTTTATGCTAAAACCTTTCCTGTGAGTTTGGGGTTGTTTAATTTGGTCTCTGAGGGACTTTAAACTTTTTCTCACGTCCACAATTGAGGAGGTTCTTCAGGTAGAAAGGACCCTTTCTGAGAAATTACAGGATTTAATACATAAGGCCACTGAGTTTGTTCAGGTAGACATAGACAAAACAGTTTGGCTTTTCCCAGAAATGCAAAATAATTGTTTGTAAAGCAGTCCTATAACTGGTCTATTTGCTCTTCTTGTGGAAAGAAACAGCTTCACAAAATTTGTGGGGATGGGAGTTGAAAGGACAATATTTGCAGTGAGGATCAACTGAATGCAGCCTATAAGAAGCTATTGCTAGGATTTAGCTATTGTTGCAAAGTATTGTGCAAAATGCAGGAAAAGGTCTATTCTTGCCAGGATCTTTGCAGAAAATTCCAAAGGAAAGTTGGAAGATCTTGTTCAATGTGATTGTAATTGATAATGTTCTAGAATGCTTAAACATGCATCTATACCTGAGCTCACTAATTCCTTGAAAATAAGATCTCAAGGCACAAAGAGTTTTAGAAAAGAGCCCAAGTTCACTGGCAATCAATTAGAAATGCTTGAGATGTCTGATTTTTAAAAAATTTTAATTCTAATTTTGATTGGAAGAGTGCAAGTTAAATAAGATGGAAAGATGATACAGTTGACTGTGATGATCCCAATGACATTGTTATGAGACATTTAGCTGGACTTTAGTCCTCAGATATGTCATTAACTGCTGCCGCAGTTGCTTCAACCTCTTTCTATCCAATTAACAAGCATAATGTTGCCTGGCCACTGCACTTTTAAAATTATGGGTCTGTTCGCTGGCAGTTAATGGAGGTATGATAATGGGTGTCTTGAACTTTGCCTATTTTCAATGCAAACATATTTCCTTACATTTTGTCTGATGCAGCACAATGCATTTCATAAGCACAATGGTAATGAGAGCATTTGTTTAAAAGGAACATTTTCACAAGCATGGTTTCATTCCCCACACATTTTTAATTTGATTTACAGATCCATATACAGGAGGTTGCTTCTTCGCAAGCACATTTATTTGAACCGGAAGAAGTTCCCATTATTAGATTAGCAGATCCAAACGCTTAGCACAAAAGAGTCAATAGTTTCCTTGCAGGTAATTCACCAAGTTCTGTGACCATCTTAATAAGTGCTTATTCTTCTTTTGGTGAAGCTATGTTGTGCTAAGAGCCAGAGACGGAGTAAATTTTGTGTGCCTTTCTGCTATTTCATGTGGCACACCCAAACTAAGAAGTCCAATGGAACAACCTTGTAGACTAATAATCTAATAGGATTAGTTAAAGACTTTTGTTCTTTGCACAACATTGTCTCCCATTTTTATGAGTGCACAGTCAGTTAAAACGAGCATTTTAGAAGTAACCAAGTTCCACTATTAATAGCTTTATCCAGCATCAATTAGAAATGTTCGCATTTTCTTCACAGTGAATTCAAATACATACACTGTATTTTCTACACTTTGTTTAAGTCAGGTATTGAACTTGTCAACACTACAGTTTTGCAAAATTGCAAAAGAAAAGGAAAACAAAAAGACAAATGAGCCTGTTTCTTAGAAACTTAAAACAAAGATCTTCTGTTAAGGGCCAAACACAAAGTGACATTGGAATGGGCCATTTTTAAAATGCTACAGTACAACTTCCTGATTGGACAGTTCTGGACACAACAATATGGAATACAGGAAAGATCCTAAATGAGACATAACACTTCTGAGTATTGAGAAAGTTGAGCAGTTTTTCCTCAAAACTAGACAATATACTTTGTCAGTACATATTTCAATATGCTTCAGTGCAAATCACATGTGTTGCTGCAAGGGACAGGTATTTGTCCAGTTTTGGGGAATCAAGTCGCTTATAGAAGGAGAATTATGCATTAGAAGCTGTGTAAGATGGCGAATAACAAATTCTAGACGATGAATGGAGACCTAATTACATTTACATTTTCTGCACTCAATATAGTTTCACTCAAGATTTGTTTCTCCCAATATCATTAGTTTCGAAGTGTTATGGGGCCTTGTAGGATTTTGACTTAATTAGGAAGATTAATATTTGGAGACATAATTTTGCTATTGCTAGTGCTAGTATTGACATCAACCCACTGTGGAGGCCCTAGTGCATAGTGCTGCGTGTGTATGGACAACTCAGGTAAAGACTTTGTTGTTAAATATTCTTCTTATACCATATGCACTGACATTTGAGAAGAACTCCCTGGGATAGTCCCATATTGTCTAGTGTCACAAGTATTCTGAGGCTGCTGGGAAGGAGTGGAGCCAATCACATGCATCCCATCCATTCCCGTGGACAAGAACTGTCTCTCACTGAACGCCCCATTGGGAGAAGAGGAGCAGAGTAAAGTGCTTTGGGAGGCATTAAGTTTCTCAGGGCCGGCTGCCAGTCTGGGGGAGGCAGCGAAGTTGTAACCATAAAGGTTATATGGGTTGTGTAAAGAAAAGGCATTGTAGGAACTCTGTTGGACATGACTACCACTAAACATGTGAGATGAAGAGGTGTTAGAGTTAGGACTTCCTGTTTGCATGACGTACTGAAACTGGGAAGCAGTAAATGGTGGCAGTTGACTGCTGTAAGCATCCATCTTGTTATTGCCTTGTAATGAAGAAGGGGTGGGTACTGCAGAGATTAGCGAAGGTGTCTTCTGTGGAACAAACGTTTCTGTTGGCGGTTGAGAAGAAGCACTAGGACCTTGTAGTCGATTGTATCCACCCTCAGCTAGAGCAGGATAACTCTGCAAGGTAGCCATATTGCCTCGGGCACAGGCTGGGTATTCAGAGAGGTTGAGATTGCAGAATTGACTCTCCCTGCAGCCAACATTAAAGGTGTTGGGGGCTAGGTGGAAAGTAGGCGGGGAGCAGGATGGAGACAGTAGATGGGAAGATGCTGAAGGGGATGGAGTTCCTGGGCTAGATGTTGTTGGTGATGTTCCTGTACTACCTCCTAAAATCAAAACAGAAAACACCAGATAAATAAATAACCTTCAAATTGAATCAGCTTCTTGTCTTTTCCAAGTTATCTTACAAGTGACGCTAATTTCAAAACCCTATGGATAAGTACAAATGCTTTGAACAGGACATCAAAATTTTACCCACAAGAAAAATAAATTAATTTTGTTGTTTCTATAAATTCAGAACATAACAGGATGAACAAAGAAAGGACAATTTGTTAAACAATTCTACTTGTGTCTCATGGGTTAGTTATTTTAACATTCCACACCTATAAATTTCCAAACTTCTTGGCAATTATTTCTATTTTTAGCTTGTTTGCAGAAGTTAGTGTTTGAAAGTTGAGAAAACAAAATTACAAGGATAGAGCGAACTAAAGTGAACTGGAAAATTAAGTGCAAGTGATGGATCTGTAGAGTTGCAAATGCAGATATTTAGAAGGATCCTTAATAATACTCAGAAATGTTATATTCTGTCCTGGGAAGGACACAGTCTGTGGCTGACTAAAGAAATTAAAGATCATATCCAATTAAAAGGCAAATTATACAATTTTGCAAAAATTAGTAGCAGTTTACAAGAGTGGACGGAATACAAGCAAAAATTATGACAAACTAAAATTAATGGGAGAAATGAAAGCATGAAGGTGAGCTAGAAATATAAAAAAGAAGTACAAGTTTCAGTTGGTACTTACAAGGCAAAAAGAGGAAATAAAGTGAGTTTTGATCCTCTCGACTGTGAGGCTGGGTTATTAAAAATAGCAAATAAGGAAGTGACAGAGGAATTGAATAGCTATTTTGCATCCATTTTCACTTTTGAGGAAACAAATAACACCCAGAAATAATTGTCTATCAAAAGGTGAAAGGGAGGAGCTTCAAATTTTGCAATCACTGGGGTAAAGGTACTGCGAAGATTATTAGAACTAAAAGTTGGTGAAAAGCAGGAAGAACCTGGAACCTCTCCAGGACCTAACAGACTGTATCCTATGATTGCTAAAGAAGTGATTGTTGAGATAGTAGCTGCATTGGTTTTATTCTTCAACAAGTTCCCTAGATCCTATCAGATTGGATAATAGTGATTGTGACTATTCAAGCAAGGAGGGAGACAGAGAGAAAAAAAATAGTCCAACAACTAAGATGGGAAAAATGCAAGAATCCAAATATTAAGGAGGATATATGGCAGAATTTAGGAAATCTCAATGCAATCAAGCAGGGCCAACATGGCTTTGTGAAAGAGAAATCATGTTTGGCTAATTTATTACAGTTCTATGAGGAAATAAAAAACAAGATGTAGATGTGGTGCACTTGGATTCCTAAAAGACATTTGACAAAATACCATATCAAAGGGTACTATACAAAATAAGAGTTTTGAGTTTGGGAGTAGCATGCCAGCATGAATAAAGGATTGGTTTGCTAACAGGAAACAGAAAGTATGCATAAATGCATCATTTTCAGGGACAGCAAGATGTAACAAATGGAGTGCCACCAACATCAATGCTGGAGCCTCAACTCTTTACATCTTGTATAAATGAATGAAGGGACCAAACGTATAGTTGCTAAATTTGCTATGACAAAGACAGGTCATAATGTAAATGCTGAATAGAACATCAAGGAGTCTGTGAAAGGACATATGTTAAATGAGCACATACTAGAATAATTTGGGAAAATGTGAACCTGTCCACTTTTGCAGGAAAAGAAAAAAAAAAGTGATGTATTGTTTAAATGTGGAAAAATTGCAAAACTCAGTGTACAGAGGGACTTGATGTCCTACTATATAAATCATTAGCTTAGTATGCAGGTGCTGCAAGTGATTAGGAAGGCAAATAAAATACTGTCGTTTCTCAGAAACAGAATGGAATGTAAAAGTAGGGTTTTTTTCCCTATAGTTGTAAAGTGCATTGATGAGATCACAATTAGAAAACAATGTGCAAGTTTTGATCTTCTTGTTTAAAAAAAGGACATAATTACAATAAAAAAAGACAGAGATGGTTCACTTGACTAGTTCCAGTGATGAAGGGGTTATCTTTATGATGAAAGGTTGAACAGGTTCGGCTTTTATCCATTGGAGCTTAGAAGAATGACAGGTAGTCTTACTGAAACATATTTGATTCTGAGGGTCTCAGGGGTTTTGGCAGAACCTGTGGAGAGTGTGGAGAGGCACAGAGAGACAGAGTCAAAAAACTCCTTTCTGGAACTGAAATGAATCCAAAGTAGAGTCATAAAAGACTCAAAGCATTAAATCTGTTTCTCTGTCCACATGATCTGTTGAATTTCTCAACCATTTTCTGCTTCCATTTCAGATTTCCAGCACTTGCAATATTTTGTTTTAAATAAAGGGTTCTGAGGGAACTTGACAAGGCAGGTGCTGAAAGAATACTTTTCTCTTGTGCACAAGTTTAGAACTAGCATATACAATTTAAAAACAAGCAGTCTCCGTTATGATGCAAATGAATAAAATTATTTCTCTCAGAATGTCATGAGAGTGTAAAATGTCATGGCAGTGTAGACATGGTTGGTGAATACCTTTAAGGCACATGTAGATAGATTCTGACTTAAAAGTTGTCAAACTGTATCAGGGTAGACAGAAACTTGGAATTGAGGCCTCAATCAAATCAACCATGGTTTTATTACATGGCAAAGCAGCATTGAGGGTTCTGCTCCTAACTTGTATATTCCTATGCTCATTGTCTGGAAAATGAGGAAGTCTTACACCCTAGGTCAACGCGTATATTGCTAATGCCTGAGAAAGCAGGAGGTAATGTTGGTCGGATAGTAAAGTTGTTAAAAGTAATGGAGGAGTAATTACATTACACTGATTTGAATTTATTGACCAATGGAAAGGAAAACTGGGCTGTTTGATAACAGACTGCAGCTTTGTTATTGTCTGTTATATACCAGTATGGAATCATAGGAGGGTTTCAATTCAGAAGGAGGCCATTTGGCCTACTATGTCTGTGTTAAGCCTGTAAATTGTTCTTTTTTCCAAACAGAAAGCCAATTATCTAATTCTTTAATGAAAGCCATACTTTAGCCTGTCCACCTCAACTCTAATTCAGAAGGCTGTGGATTCAAATCCTACTCCAGGATCTGAGCTGAGATGCCATTGCAATACTGATGGATTACTGTGTCGTTGGAGGTATTGTATTTTGGTTGAGATAGTAGACCAAGACCCCATCTGCCATCTTAGCTGGATGTTTTGAATAGCAGAAGCATTTTACCCAGTGTATCAATGTTTATCTGTCAATTGACAACACTAAAACAGAGCATATAGTCATTATCACATTGCTGTCTGTGGGAACTTTCTATGTATAAATTGATGGCTGTATTTCCTACATTACAACCTGAATACACTTCTCATGTACCCCAATAACTGTAAAGCACTTTGGGATGTCTTGGGATTGTGAAAAATCTATATAAAAGCAAGCCCCCTTTCTATATATTTTTCATTTGAAATATGGAGCCAATGATAGTTTAAGAATTCAGCTTTGTGCAATTGACTTTAAACTTGAAGACCAGATTGAGAAAAGGCAGAATACTCTTGGCCAGTCCAAATATTATAGATTGTTACTGAAATACAGCATCAAGCAGAATGAAGTAACTATGTAGGATAAATCAGAATATGAAAATAAATCAATCTGCCAAACTTGGATCCATTCCAAACCATGATTGAAAGATACTGCATTTTATTCAACATTTGGCATTTGTACAACATTTTCCCAGTGACTTTTTTCTGTCTTTTCTATGACATCATAAAAGACTGTCTTAAGCAACCAGGATTTATTACACATATATAATGTGTCTCCAATTGAAAACAATGGGAGAGTGTGAGAGAAGTAAAACCATGCGTTGCTCTGGGCAGTATGAAATTGGCATACATAAGAACACTCAATTGGTTTTAAATGAGAGGAAAATACAAGTCATATCCATTGCCAATTAGGCTAAGGGTCAAAATGGTCTATTATTATTATTAGAACGTGACTTACATATTCCTTTACATTAATAATTTCTACCAAATCAATTTGAAAATAAACACAATGGGCTTTAGCATTACATTGAAGAATTTAGAAACATCATGGGAAAACACTTTGCAATTTCCATAAAATAAACTGAATCTCAAACACAGCATGTGACAGTGATCTATCATTCTTCCATATCTGCAAGCAGATATCAAAAAGAATACATCAACAATGCACGACAGCACCACATAATAAGTTGGAAGCTCTTCCACCATTAATCTCCAAAATGATTTGCACAAAGTATTAAATTAATTGTGTTATCTAGAAGAATATTTTTTTCTAGAAAGAAGCAGGTGAAGAATACAATCCTCATGCAGATTGAGAAACAGATTTAATATCTCTTGTCTCAGTTGAAAATTGTGCACAGCTCAGAGGGGTAAGAAAAGTTCAAGGTACAAAAGGAGAAATAAAATTAACAATTATAAAGAAAATGTTGAAATTAACTTTGCAAATTATTATAAGCTAAATTTATATGATAAAATATAACATGTATTCAGTGTATGTGATTAAAATTTATCAGGAAAATTATTTCAGAAAGAAGTACTAGTTTATTGCCTTGAGAGAACTCTGGCTGAATCATACCATGCTAACCATGCTTTACTACATTGTATAATCCTGAATAAAGACTTAGTAATCCAGCCTTGTAGTTGCAATGCAGACATCTCTGTCAGATGAACAAAATGTCAATTCATTTAATGTGCCTCTTAAAATTGCTGGCCACTATAAGATTGAGCATTTAATTCTCAGACTGGCTGCACACACCTTCCTAAAACATTTTGACAAAGAACCTCAAAGTAAGGAAAATATGACACTGTCCATGTGTTCAATGCTATACATTCAGTTCTTCAACCAGCTTCAGGTGAAATAGGATTAGTTCCTTAACTTACCTGAAGAAAGAAACCTCAGAATGAAAGAAGCATGTTCCAATTAAATAAACATCCAGCCCGGAATGATTTGTTAAGTGGTGGAGATTAATGAAACCG